AACACGACCCCCCTTCAGACGCCCCAACACGCCTTTACACACGCCCTTCGACGCCCCAACACGACTCCCCTTCAGCCGCCCCAAACACGCCCCACCACGCCCCAAACACACCCCCACCACCGCCCCAAACACCCCCTTCAGACGCCCCCAACACGACCCCCCTTCAGACGCCCCAACACGACCCCCCTTCACGCCCCAAACACACCCCCACCACCGCCCCAAACACACCCCACACGCCACCCCCCACCACCGCCCCAAACACACCCCTTCTTCACCCCAACACGACCCCCTTCAGACGTTCGCCCCCACCCACCGCCCAAACCCACCCCACACCCCCAAACACGCCCCCTTCAAACACGCCCCCACCACCGCCCCAAACACACCCCCACCACAAACACCCCCTTCAGACGCGCCCAAACACCCCCTTCAGACGCCCTCCGCCCAAACACACCCCCACCACCCAAACACACACCCACCACCGCCCCAAACCACCCCCTCTTAACCCAACACGACCCCCCTTCAGACGCCCGAAACACCCCCCTCAGACGACGCCCCAAAACACCCTTCCCAGACGCCCAAACACCCCCCCACCGCCTCAAACACACCCCCTTCAGACGCCCCAAACACACCCCCACCACCGCCCACTGATAGCGAAGCCCGCCCACTAATAGCCAGGGGCAGCGTCTTGAAGGAGCTCACGGCCCCCGAGACAGCTGCGACGCCCACGCCCTTTTGCCCTCTCTTCTCAACACTTCTGTCTAGTGCTAATCGTATATTTGATGTCTATATGTATATAATTCCCTCCTTCAATCTTCGCATCTTGTGTATATATTTCTCTCCATGATTAATAATCTGATGAACAACACTGAATTAATGTTATGCTGGTGAACACTTGACCTTGTTGATGAATAACTTGTAAATAAGATTGATTATAAGACACTAAAAAAAAAAAAAAAAATCAAATGATGGATGATATTAGCATTTTTGATAGGGTGTTCTAACTCTCACAACTTCGACCCTTTCCGTCACACCTTTTTGACCTCAGTGCACGAAAGTTTTGCAATGTTGAAATTCCATATCTCCCTCCCCTCCCTCCCCCCCCCCCCCCCCCCCGCTTCCCCCCCCCCTACCCTAAACACTCCTCCCCATTCCTTTTGAAATAAAAAAAAAAAAAAAAAAAAAAAAAAAAAAAAAAAAAAAAACACGAAAACAAATCATAATAATATTGTTATCGTCAATATTATTCTTTGAAATCTTTTGAGGTTTCGTCTTCCCCTCCATACGTCCCCCCTTCCTCCCCTTCCCTCCCTCCCTCCCTCCCCCCGCCCCCCCCTTTGCTACGGAAGTCGAGACAGGGTCGAAGTCGAAAACCCCGCGTCGGCGCCTGCGTTTAAATAGTCCTTAGCTAGTCGACACTTAGAGAAAAAAAAAACACATTTTTTTTCTTCCTTCCACTTTCCTTCTAGTTTTTTTTTTTTTTTTTTTTTTTTTTTTTTTAATCTTTCTTACGTGCACGCGGAAGAGGAATAGAAGAAGCGATAGATTTTTATTTTGTTTTTCTTTATCTTTCTGTCCCGTTTTGGGGTAAATTTTCGATTTAATGAGATAAATGGAGCTTCTATTCCTCACTGAAAGGTTCGTCTAGGTGTAGGTCAGGCTAGTTTTGGAATATACTATGACATGATAATAGGAAACAGGATACGTGAATGACAGTGTAGCAGGATATCAGTTTTGCAATATAGCAGATTGGCAGGGAAATGAGGTTGCAAAATAGCAGATTGGCAGGGTATCAGTTTTGTAAAATAGTAAATTGGCAAGGAACCGAGGTTGCAAAATAGCAGAGGGGATGCATTTAGCAGATTGGCAGGGTATCAATTTTGCAAAAAATAAAAGATTGGCAGGGAGCCGAGGTAGCAAAATAGCAGATTACTAGATTAGGAGACTTGCAACATAGCAAATAGGTATCAATTTTGCAAAATAGCATATTGGCAAGGAACCGAGATTGCAAAATAGCAAATTGACAGGGTATCAGGTTAGCAAAATAGCAGATTACTAGATTAGCAAACTTACAACATAGCAGATTAGCAGGATATTAGGATAGCAAAAGAGCAACAAAACGCATGAGCAATCTAGCAGATTCACATACCAGTAAATGATCAAAATATAGCAGTATAGTCAAGGTAAAAGAGTAGCAAGATAGATTAAAAAATAGATCTTATTATCAAGGTAGCCAGGTGGGAGGGTTTGCAAGATATCAGGATGTTTACTTAGAAAGGTATTAACTCAGCAGATCAGCAGGTTTTGCAAAGTAGAATAGTCAGGCAAACAGGCTAGCAAGATAGCAGAATAGCAGATATCAGCCAAGCAGGCTACCAACGTAACTGATAATAGCAAAATAGCAGATGAGTCAGGCTAGAAAGTTAGCAGGATAGCAGCTGAGACAGGCCAGCAAGCCAACAAGATCGTTTTCAGATTAGTAAAATAGCAAAAGGCTAGCAAAAATAGCAGAATAGAGACAAAAATAGCAGAATAAAAAAAATAGCAGAATAGCAGGTGATCCAGGCTAGCAAAATAGCTAATGAGCCAGACAACAACAACAAAACAACAATTAGTCATAGCAAAACAGCAGACGAACATCAGATCAAGCAAAATTACCCTCAAAACGGATTAACAACAGACTCAGGCTAGGAAAATTACCAGACTAGCAAAACGGATTAACAACAGAGTCAGACTAGCAAACTAGCAAAAATAGCAAACTAGCAGACTAGCAGGGCAGCGCGACTAGCAGGGACAGCAGGCGCGGGGCACGAGATACCCGAGGCGTTTGAACTGACGGTGAGGTGTTCGATTTCAGCGGCGTGTTCGTGCGTATAAAGAATAAGAACCTCCACGCTGACTGCTTCAGGTGTTCAACCTGTGGCTCGTCGCTCAAGAATGTCGGTAAGTCCTTTTTTTTATTATTTATTCCATTTCCCTGTTTCGTTATCTAGTTGTTGTTGTTTTTTTATTCTTGTCTTCTTCTTTTTTATTGTGTCTTGTTCGGATTCTTCTTCTTTTTTTAGGGGGTATTTTTTCCTCCCGTTTGGAGGGTTGGAATCTCCCTTATTAGCTACCCTATTTATGATCCCCTTTTTTCCCCTCTTCCTTCCCTCCCTTCCCTTTTTACCCTTCTCTCCCCCCTTTTTTCACTCATTTATCAGCCATTTTCTCTTAGTCATCTCCTTTCATTTCAAAAAAACTACATTTTCGTACACATTTTTTTGTTTATTTATTTATTTTTATTATTTTTTTTTAAGGTTTCGTGTTTACTTTGTCTTTCTCGGTTTTCAGATCAGTGGTCGCGACGCACTCTGATTCCAATATTATTGTTGTGTTTCGTTCTTGATTCTCATTCCTTCATTTTCTCAGCTGATAGGTAGAGAAAGATGGAGGAGAAGGAGTAGAAGGAGACAGAGAACAAAACATAAAAGGAGGAGAAGGAGGGAGAGTGAGACTGGAGATGATGGAGGTGGAGAAGGAGATGGGGGGAATGTAGATGTAAGTGAAATAGAATTGATTAATGGATAATCATCTTTTTCTTAGAGGGAGAGAAAGGGTAAAAAAAACTTCACTCATTTACATTCATCATACATACAATTACCCAAAAAAAAGGAAGCAATCTTAGCAGAGAGGAAGAAGCTGAAGAACCAAAAAAAAAAAAAAAAAAGAGAGAGAGAGAGAAAGAGAAATCCATTCTCTCCTTCTTCCAAAAAAAAACCTATATGACGAAAAAAAATACACCTAGAAGATAAGACATTCATGCTATTAACAACCAGCAAACTTCATAACCCTCCCTGTCTCGATCGATAATCCCAATGCTACTGTGCAGGCTACTACAACATCAATGACAAGTTATACTGCGACGTCCACGCCAAGCAGGCCGCCCGCCACAACCCGCCTGCCCCCAACATGGAACCTGTTGTGGTCAAGCCGTAAGTGTCACTCAACCGGGTGTCTCCTGCCAACATCATGTCTCTTAAAAAAAAAAAAATACACATATCTCATCGGGTTTCTCCTGCCAACATCATCTCCCTAAAGCTACTTGTGCTTTTTCACTTCTGTCAGAATAAGCTCTCGGATCTCTTTTGTTTTGGTCTGAGTTTGTTGTGTCTTTGAAGTCGGGAGTCTGATGCTCTTTTGTTTTTTTTTTTTTTTTATATGAGGGTTGGCGGGAGGAAGGGAATTAGATTTTGATGATAAGGGATCATAAGAGAAATGACAATTGCTGTCAGCGACGCAACGCCTCTGACGATGGATAATTTTCTTGGGACTCTTAATATATTCGTGCACGTCATTAATATCCTCCTTCTTCTCTTTTTTTATTATTACAAGCATTATATGTCTCTTAAAATCCGAGACTCTAAGCGGTGCTCGGCTCGACTGAACATGTCCTCTTCTCCGGGTGTTTCAGCGGTGCCGCCCCGCCCGCTGGTGCAGTGACCGCCACTCAGGCCAAGGCTGCCCCCGCCCCCCCCCCGCCCCCCCCGCCCCTGTAAGTATGCCCCGCCCACGAGACACGCCCTCTCTCGTAGCTACTCATCTTCACCTTTTTTTCTCTTTTCTCTGTGGACATGATCGCTGGTGATGATAACCCTCCGTCCGTGACAGACTCACATCCTTTAAAATACAACCAGAAAGGAAAAAAAAATCTATAAATGTATAAACCTCGCCTCAATCCGTCTCGTGGATGATCATTGCTATTTACTTGTTTATATATTCGTATATTTATTTATCTATTTATCTATTTATCTATTTATTGTAAGAGTAATTTCAGAGGTCCATCTATGGTTGAGAATGAAAATTTTAAAAATCCCTCAAAACAGAGGAGCTGAATGAATATTTTTTTTTTATATATATATATTTTTTTAGTATAATTAGGAAAGATATGAAGAGAATAGGATGTTTTTTTTTTCTCTCTTTTGACGTGTCTGACGTGATCACAAATCATTTGGAGATACACTGAGATAGGAATGAGCAGAAAAAAAAGAAAGTATATTTGAAAACCGAAATCTCTCTCAGATATAGATGCGAATATTTTCTTCTTGGAGTCACGCAGTCCTTCGACCCCCCCCCACCCCCCTCCCCTTGGACCGTCCTTTCACCTGCACTCAGGGTCTCTCTCCTTCCCTTCCCCCCCTCCCCCTTCCCCTCCCCTGTTGCCCTCTCCCTACCCTTTCCCTCCTCCTTTATTATGCTCTCTCTTTTCTTTCTTCTCTCTCTCTCTCTCTCTCTCTCTCTCTCTCTCTCTCTCTCTCTCTCTCTCTCTCTTTATCTCTCTTTCTCTCTCTCTCCGCTCTCTCTCTCTCTCTATCCCTCCCTCCGTTCTTCCTCTCCTCCCTCCTTCCTCTCCCCTCTCTTCCCTCCCTCTCCTCCTCCCTCTCTCTCCCTCCCCTCTTATCCGTCCCTCCCTCTCTTCTCCCTCCTCCTCCCTCCTCATCCTCTCCCCCATCCCCCCCATCACAAGGGCGTCGCATCTCCGTCGTTTAACTCCTCCTCTGGTGTCCTTTTCTGGCAGCCCTTCAAGCCTCCCGTGGGCGGCGTCCGGATCTTGCCGCTCAACGCCATGGGGTCTCCGTCCATGCCTTCACCCACGCCCATCCCTAACTTCGCCCCGCCCCCCCATTCAAGGTATCTCGCCCGTAGCGGCTCGTCGGAAGCCTCTCGCAAGACCTCCCCCCCCCCCCTTTTAACAGTGTTCGGCCATTTTTTTCCCTTCCCCCTTCCCCTTTATTCTTGACCTTTACTTTCAACCTCCCCCCTCCCCCCTTCCCCCTCCCGTGATCTCGTTCCCTCCAAATCCTACTTATTTCCCCTTTTAAATAAGAAAACAAAAAGCCATGACCCATTAGAGAGCAACAGTAGTCGTGTGATGCCACCCCCACGCCTCTCCCCCCTTACCCCCTCCTCCCCTTACCCCTCCCTCGCTCACCCTACATCCTTCCCCACTTTCCTTAAAAAATGGAAAAAGTAGACAAAACCAGTAGTTATTCCTTTATTTTTTATTTTTTCCCTTGTGAGTGTACTTAGATTTTGAACTTAGACGGTCGTGGAGTGAACGTAGGATCTCGAATTAACGCTCTTTTTGAAATAGGGCTTCGCTGGCTATTTGACCGGCAGTCTTCTCTATCCATGATATAATAAACCCACAAAAAGAAGTCATATGACAGAGTTTAAAAATGCCATTTTTTTATATTATTGACATTCGCTTCTTTTAATGGACGCCTTATTATATATATGGGTTTTTATACTAATAGCGTGCGGTAGTTATCTAGCTAACCCTTTCAGTAAAATGAAATAGAGGATCCAAGTATTAAATCCATCTAGAAATTCTTAGTATTCTTCTTCGTTTACTTTTTAGTCAACCAATTAGATTTAGTCAACCAATGAGAATTCGAACAGAAATCTTCCATTCTCTTCTCTTTACATTCGTACTCCCTGTAGACCGTTAAAACCGTTACATGATTTTGAAAGTTTGAACATAAAGATAACTTGGTAGATCCTGAGCGTGTGACTGCGTTTAATAGCTGAAATAGAGAGCTAGTTTTAACGCTAGAGCTAACATAGTTATTACCGTGGAATTATTGACTCCAAATGATGATGGAAATAGTTATATTATTTAATCAGAAAGAAATTGAATTGTTCTTTTTCTAGACTTCAAGAATACACAAAGATGGCGTTTTCTTTCGTGGTCTCCAAAATTGATATATTTGTCTATTGTTTTTTTTCTCTCTCTCCAATATTATGACATTTTTACAGTTATCATTCTTTTATTTACCCGGTTTATTTATTTGTTTTTTTTTGTCGACTCCTTTTTGTTTATTTTCGTATTTATTTCTTGAAATTGATTATTTTCTGACCATCTTCATCTTTATGCTTCAGTTTTTTTTTTTTTTTTTTTTTTTAGTGATATCTCGTTTTTTTTTTATTTCGTTATTGTTATCATTTAATTATCCATTTGGTTATTCCATCGTCTATCACCACAAAAGACGGACCTACTTTCTGCCTTTCAAAAAAAAAAAAAAAAAAAAAAAAAAAAAAAATCTGTATGATCAATTTTAAAAAGCGTTTTTTTTTTCTTTTTTTTCTCCCACAACCACAATGACAGTTGAGGTAAACCAAAACTAAACCATCTTCATTCTAAAAAAAAAAAAAAAAAACAAAAAACAAAAAACAAAATCAGATTAAAAGACAAATTGATCCATTCAGATTGGGATCAATAATGACACGCATGTGACATGACTTTTGTTTTCATAACAACATAACAACAACAACAAAAACAAATCTGAGGTAAGTTTATGCTAAACTGTCTAGTTGATTTTGATTTTATTTTTAAATATTCGTGTTTAATCAAATGTAATCGTTTATATAACTGATCTTAAAAAAAAGTAGAGTAAATTTGCTTTCCTTTTAACTATAATTCTAACAGTATCATTTTTGTCTATGTTCAGCATCTTCGGTTAATATTAAAGTCCAACTGACCCAATTAAACACAATAATTGGTCTTGCTTTATGTGTTTTTATTTGCCTTTTTTAATATTCATTTGCATAAAAAAAAGTTGTTTGGAGAGGCGAAGACAGATCGACTGTAGGAGTTGACACGGACTTTCTCTCCACACGATGACTCTTCCCCTTTTTTTATCATTTTATTTTGGGTGCCACGCTGCCGCTGCCTCTGCCCTTAGTGCCACTGACATGTCTCTTGCAGCCCGTGGCCCCAGAGCCAGAACTCGAACCCGTTGCACCACTCCAGGAGCCTCCACTACCTCCCCCAGAGCCAGCCCAAGAACCGGAACCACAGCCAGAGGTACACCAGACGCCCCCCCCGCTTCGCCGCTCTCGCTCATGTTCTCTCGTCTCTTCTAGTTCTCTGCTCTTAGTCTGTTTCTTCTTTGTCTCTGTCTCTCTGTCTGTCTCCTTCTGCGCTCTCGTGTTGCTCATGGGATTCATCTTGGTCATCCTCTGCGTCTGTTGGCTGCGCGGAGATCGGGGTTTCTCTGTTCGGTGGGGTCTCGTCTTCGTGTCTCGATTTCGCTTGTTCTCTGTCTCTCGGTTTACGTTCTTTTGTGTCTTGTTGCCTGTCTCTCTCTCTCTCTCTCTCTCGGGGTCTCTCTCTGTCTCTCTCTCTCTCTCTCTCTCTCTCTCTCTATCTCTCTCTCTCATCCTCTCTCTCTCTCTCTCTTTCCATATATTTCTTCGACGACGTTCTTCCTCGCCTTCCCATCGCCCTGTCAGGCAAAATGTAGTACAAGGAAGGTCCCCTCTTAGTCTCTGGATCTCGGTCTCGCTCTCAGTAACCACCGCATGGCGACTGGCTGGTGCATGGCGTCTCATCTGGAGGATACTCATGTCTCGTCGCCGGGCTCATGACACTCGCCATGCACTCCCTTCACCCTCAGCTCTTCCATTACACTCATGACAACGGCTGTTTATCTGGCATGAGTCGTGACGTCGCTGTCTCTCTCGTTGCGCTGCTGAAGGGAAGGTCTCGACGCGGCAGAAGACTGACGGACACGACCCCACGTAGAGTCTTCGGCTGGTTTCATGTGGTCGTCTCTCGTCCCTTCACTTGTCGGTGTCTCTGTTGCTGCTGCTCTCCCTGTGGGCAGCTCTAATGGCTTACATTTTTTATTAAGATTTATTTTTTCCCACTTCAATTATCTGTCTAGAATATTTTTTGGCAAGTAGTTTAGTGACTCATTTGCAGTCTCTCTTCTCTCTAATTACTTGAATAATACCATAAATAATCATGATAATTTCCCCTCTGTCTTCAAAAGCTCAGCTCGTTATTAACTATAAATTAAGCAATTAATACCTGAATCATTTTATGAGTTGCTTCTTATAACAAAATTTAAAATTCAATTTTATTTATCCTTTTTTATAATCATTTTGTTCCCCCCTGATAATTTTGCGCCAACACCGCGAGGTCTCTCACCTCAAAGTAATTAACACACCTGAAGCTTCGATTCCTCCCGCCGGGAGCCTGTCACCCCGCAGGAGGGAGGCAAGTGAGTGAGTCTTGAGAAGATTTGAGGTAGAAGGAGGTAGAAGGAGGAGGTGGGAGGAGGAGAGATGAGGAGAATAGGTGAGAGTCCTTCGCGCCGTTGTTGCCTGTTGCACACTGACGGGCTCGCCTCTGCCACTTGCAGCCTGCAGCCGAGCCCGAGCCAGCAGCCCCCGTTTCCGAGCCCGTCGTGGAATCTGCCCCCGCCCCCGCGCCCGTCGAGGCCGCGCCCGAACCCGCACCCGCACCCGCGCCTGAGGTATAACTCGGTTGTGAGTAAAGCCATCCGGAGCGCCCCCTCCAGCCCCCCTCGGGCGCCCTCGGCCGGACGCCCCCTTCGGGAGCCGCGGGGGTCACGGGCGGCGGCGAGGGCCCGCTCCAGGCCCCCGCTCGAGCCCAGTGATCCCGGCGAACCCTGGAGGAGGACGCGGGTCGAGGGCGCCGACGAGGGCGTGGGGGGCGCCCGGTGTGCTCCTTCCCCCCCTCTGTGCACGAATTGCCCGGCCACGCTACAGGGAGGGCCACGCACACGCTCACACGCACACGCACACCTGCCGCGCGACACCACAGTGGCCCCTCCGCATCCACACCGACACTTGGTAGCTGTCAGAACGAGAGAATAAATCAATGTACAAAATGTTTAGTTAATTAGAGATTGTGCTCGTCTCTCACTATGGTGTAAGTGATATGTAATTCTCTGCCTGAGGCTACATCTTTGTAATTATTCCTAGTGCATCTCACTGTGTAAATAATCACATTTCAATTATCTAATTTCAAGTCTAAATTCATGCATGAGCAAATATATGGAAGAGCTATTGAGTATTTACATACAGGCGCATGTACGCACACGCATTCGCTCACGGACAAGTCGGACATGTACACACTCATACACACATCAATCCATAACGCACACACACAGGCACAAACACACACACACACACAGGCACAACAACACACACA